AAACACACAGTTAACAAAAACGCTTGCATTACTCCATTAAATACAACAGCTGCAGAAGAACATACTTTGATTCGTGGAGTTTGGGGCAATTATTCAGCAATGTTTTACAATCACTAAAATATGTAGCATGGATTCACAAACCTTCAAACATACAATTAACTGTAACCCTGAGAATATACTGTCCAATATGAAACATACTATTTGGACAACTCAGAAACAACTTATCACTTTAAATCCCACACAGCAAGGCTAATGCAAGCATAAGACAAATGACTATCTAAAAGGAAGCAAGGTTCCCCCCCAAAAATAGGTGTTAGGATCACAACAGGGCTAGTGATTTTACAGCTTTTTATTTGACACATTATTAACCTCTGTCTTATAAAGAATTGATAATCCAAGGCAAAGTACTCCCCATAAGGAGGCTTACCATGCATGAATGGATTTCAAAACATATGTTTCCTTACCAAAGAAATCAAAGACTAGAAGCTGAAAACCATGGTATCAAGGGAAGGCACAGGAACAGTAAGGGGTCACCTGTGCTTGTGATGTTTCCCAGGTTTGACTACCACCCAGCACAGGAACTATAGATCAAACCTAGAACTTGCTTGGAAGACTAATGAATAAATAATACTACACGTGCAGGCTGTCTGAACTTTTGGAGGGAGTAAGACCCCAAAATAATTAGATTCTGACCGAGGTTGTCTGTTTCTCTTCATACATTATTTAAGCCCCACCATAGCAAAACACATGAAGAGAAACAGTGACAGACTACAGACAGTTTAAAGTGTATTTTAAACTGAACTGTTATTAACAAATTCAACCCTTATTCCATGAAGCACTAATTTTCTGTCACAATATCAGCCTCTGCCACTTGGAAATTCAAGTGGATGCTCTGCTCTGTATAGCAATACCTGGGTACCATAAATGGTACAAAGCCCACCTTCGCAGTTCTGAGCCACTCTTGTTTAGAGGATAAGGCAATGGCTCCAAAGCCTGCTCTCACTGTCCCCAGATTTATGTCTTTCTTTTCAGATAAACCTTTTCTTTATTTCAGACTTTTTGTCTGATCTTTAATTCATAGGGCAGTATGCTGATGCAGTGGCATAAAAAAAGAAGTAGATTTTTCTGGCATAATTTGAGGCTGGAAAGAATGTTAAAGGAACTAAGCTTTTTGGAGTGGCAGAGTGCTAATGCAGACATGTAGAACATATGCCGTTGGCTGCAAGAGCAACTCATAAGAATCCTCAGAAGAAAAAGGGTAGCTGATAGATTATGAAAAGCTTGTAAGGTAAAATAGAACTCTTAATTTTTTAAACCGACTGGATGTGAACCAGGAACTTAAAAGTTTGCTTTAAGAACGTACTAATTTTTCTGTTTTGCTTGCACTGCTCTGAGGCAAAAATAGTATGCACTCATACAGGACCAGGTGGGATCAAATCCTCAATCTTGCCAAATTGTGCTTTTAAAAGCCTTTAACCTTGCATTTAATTAAACTCAAATTTGCTTCCATGTACCACAATTTCCCTCAGGTTCCTCTGCCTAAACTGGTCTTTAACGACTGCATAATCTTATTTCCAAGATGTTTATTTCTAAGAAGTGTAAAAAAGGCAATAATTCTATACAAAAAATAACTGAGCACTTAAAGCAAAACTAATAAAATACAGCCAGTACATTGGGTCTGATCCAGAATCTGCCCGTTTCATCCTCCCATCTGAGAATCTGGTAATTGATCCTGTGGAAGAAGCAAGAAAACTGGGTAGATGCTACCCATGAACTTCATCTTGACCATCAGTTCACAAATACTAAGTCTTGAAATCCTTCTGCACCTTAGAACAGCTATTTACCTATGTGAGCTCTGAAAAAGGACTCTCCCGTAGCTTGAGTACCATCCTTCAAGTCATGCAGAAAGAAGGTTAATGAACTAACAGTTGACAATAATATTGCAGACAACAGATACAACATTCACCATAATTTTATTTGACTGGTTCACTCTAGCCCATTAAATCCACTTGCCTGTTACTCTGCTAGGTCAGGCTATGTATACACATGCCAGCTCACAGGTTAAGTTCAGTCTTGTTTTATTGTCACCTATTTCTGCTACTCAGGCTACTCCAGAGCCACATTCATCCACTGATCAGCAGACAACTTCCATATTACACTGTAAAAATCAGCCAGTCATTTAAATTCATTTGTTCTTAGGCCATCCTTCAGTCTCTCTTCTCTCCTGGTTCCTCCCTACACACATTTTCTTCCTATGCTGTCTCTGTTTCTGTTTTGCTAAGCCAAGCCAGCCCTGGGGCATGTGGGGAAGAGTGAGCTCACCCTGTGCACCTGAAGCAGCCCAAGTTGGCTCTGCCAAGCTTCGGAAGTCCAGCAGGATTACCCTGACCCTGCAATTGTACTTAGAATTCTTAAATTTTAACTCCTAATCCTTCACAGTCCTTCTTACATGTCTAAAGCTTTTGTGGTGTGGGCTTTTATTAATGCTGTCTCACCAGTAGGTTCCATGTGCATACTGCGCACCTGGTGCCACTGAAAAAACCCTAAAATTCATCACAGAACCCATTTTCACAACTGCCAATAACTCCTTACTCCTAGCTCAATGCCTCTTTTCACCACCACCTTATTTCATCCCGTTCCTTCAACCACCTTAATAATTCTCTATTAATTCACATTTTTCTGAATTTTAATCTATTTCTTTGTGGCACCTGCAGCTTTACTGAAGTTCAATGACAAGTCACCTCTATTTCTTATGTCGACAAAATTAATTATTGAAAAGATGAAAGTGAACTAGTCCAACTTGGCATACCTTTGATAAACACATACAGCATTCTCCATTTGTCTCCAGATCTGTTTTTTTCCACCAACCTTCTGTCTTAAATCCTGTGGCTGAGGTTGCCCTACCAGGTTTCTCAACTGCTCAAAGTGCACCATCCCTTTACAGGAACTGCATTCACTGTTCTACATTATGATATCATGCACTTATACAATCAAGCTGCTAGAACCAGCACCCCATTAAAGTTACTAATTCAAAAGGCAGATCACACAGAATTATTACACAGAGCTTGAGATTACTAAACCCTGTGAACACTGTTCACTCCTCCCACCTCTATTTCACATCTAAACATCAGCAGGTGTCCTGCCCTGGCCCTTAGATCCACTATGCCCATTCATCCAGTGGAAAAGAATCTTCCATTTTAGGCCCTATCTCGATTGTCCTAGCCTATTTGCTGCAACTCCAAGTCAAACTAATGCACTTGCAGAAACCATACATTAACACACTTTCTAAATGTATGCAAGTTGAATGTGAGAATAGAATTATGTTATTCCATCTTTTCCAGCACTGTTCACCCAAAGAGCCCAAACGTAAAAACACCAACTCTCTAACATTTTGCAACAAAGAAACTCATGTATTAACTGAGGCAACTACTCTAATTTCTCTAGGAAATCCCATGGTATCGGCGACCCTGATAGCAAGACAAAACTGATTTAATTGTGTGGTAATTTAAGTTTATTGCAGGTCTCACTAACTTTTTGTTCTGCCTTTTTTCCTTCCCCCCCCCCCCCCCCCAGTTACTTCAGGTCAGCAGGCTGTGTTTCCAAGTTTCACAGAATGACAAGTATTTACAAATGAAACTTCATGAAATAAAATGCAAGCCTGGCCCTACTAATGTTTTGATGTTTCACCACTGTTGATGTAACAAGGTTTACTGAGGAAGAGATTAATGAAAGTGTATGGTTATTGCACAAGTTCACACAATGTGGGCCTAAATGATAACTTCTCCAAATTTACAGTATTTTCTTGCATGTGTTGAAGTTTAACAGAAAGCTATTTTCACTTAAACAGTGCCAGTAAGTCATAGTGACCCCAACTTCCTTTGTTACTGACAGAAACATGACACTGCTTTATATTTAACAGAAGCCTTTCATTCAGAATCAGAGAGAAATCTTTAAAATTATAGCAAATTTACATCAAGAGTGTCCACAGAAGCTGCTAGAGTAAGATCTTATTTTTTCAAGAGGTAGGCATTTTTAAAGGGGGCTTTGATTTGCAAACCAACAGAGTGCCAGAAAACCGTTTATATGTTACTAGCGGGGGCTGCAGAAGCATTCACTAGTGTGCTTTATCCAAGTGAGAAGTTAAATTACATCAGAAACACGGGCCGATGAAACTCCGCTCCTCTCCCTCCTCCCCAGTCTGCAGCAGCCCCGCAGCTACACCATCCCTTCTGCCAACCAGCAGCCGAAGATCTGTTACATTATTCCGGCTATGGCATCCTAACTCATTGCTGCCTCGTCTCCCATGAACTCGCTCTTCCCTGGAAACAGGGAGATCGCTCCAGGCTCTCAGGGACCCCACCACGCCGCGCACACCCCGCTCTGCCTTGCCTGGAGACACACTGTGCTCCCCCGCTAAGCTCTACCCGGCCGCAGACGGTGCCTCACTACACCTGACCACGGGAAGATCACCACAACCACCCGGGCCCTCCGGGGGAGCGCCAGAGCCGGGCTCCAGGCTGGCCCGGGCCCTCCCCGTCTGCTGCCACTCGCCCGACCCTCCAAGAGGGCTCGGCCGAAAGGGCGGCGCGGCCGGGCACGGCCGCAAGGGGCCGGCAGCCGAATCCGAGCGGGCCGGCAGCGCCCCAGCAGCCAGGCTGCTGCAGGCCCCTGCCAGGACCCTTACTGGACGGCGACAACGAGCCGGGGCGACGGGCGGGAGCAAGCGCGGCCGGAGCCGCTCCTTACCCTGGTGCGGCGGCTGGCGAGGCCTGGCCCGGTGACCGCTGCGCTCCGCCGCGCGGAGCCCAGCCGCTCACTCAAACAAACAAGATGGCGGGCGCGGCCCTTCCTGCCGCCCAAAGCGGCCGTTCAAATCACAGGATGTTTACTGTTAAAATGCCCCCCCCTCCGCGCGCCGCGCTGCGCCTGCGCCTGCGCCTTACCCCGCCATGCCGCGGGTCGCCGCCTAGCCACCGGTACTACGCATGCGCATACCCGGGATGACGAGCGGCCGGATGAGCGACACCCGTTCACTGATAGGGGGATACTGCGCCTGCGCGGCCTCGCTCTGGTGGCCATGGGCGGAAGTGGCTGGTGTGGGCGGTTGCCATGGAAGCGCGCGGCTGGTGAGGCGGGCGCTGTTCGCAGGCCCATCCCGGCCCTGTGGCTCTGAGTCCTTTGCTCCGGCGAGGCGGTCTGGGCCTGGGCTGGGTCTTGCCGAGTGTCGGGCCGGCTGCCCGCGGTGCGCCCGTGTGTCTGCGCGCCCCGTCGGGTGCCTAGTCGGGCCCGGCCTGAGGTCGGCGTTCTGTCAGAGATGTGTAGCACAACCTTTATGTCCAGCCTGGGCCGCTGTGGAGTCCGGCCTGTTTGTGTGTGGTGCTTCTTGTTACCCAGCTAACAAAAAACACTGCCTTGCAGGTGACTGAATTTTCAGTTGGGTTGAAACAAAAGACTCATTTAAAACATCCCTTTATGCAGCCTGCTTCCTTAAAGAGGGTAACACACAAGGTCTTTCTGAGATTTGGAGCATACTCCTGCTATCTGGGACACTGCAGGTGTTTCTTTGATACTGCGGGGGTGTTTGGTGCATGTGTTGGGAACAGCTGCACACACTGTGTTTTCTTTGTTTGGACTAACTATTTCAACAGGTCTGAGAAAGGTTTTCTTATTTCAAACTTGCTTATCTATGTATGACAGCTATGTGTGATAATAGCTAAATAGAGACCTGTGGCTACAGCTGGGCTTCAACAGAAAGGGTCAATGACTAGGTAAAAGGAATGGAAAGGGAAACAAGGCTGGCAGTGTTCAAGACCAAGTTGCACAGTGACATGGCCTAGTGTGAGGTGTTCCTGCTCATAGTAGGGTGGTTGGAACTGGATGATCTTAAGTTCCTTTCTGACCCAAGCTATTCTATGATTCTATGAATAGGATTTCTCTGGTCTTCTGCCTGAGGCACCAGGAAGTCTGAAGTTACAAGTACATAAAATAAAATTCTATATCAATAACAAACAATCTTTAGCCCAAAGAGACCCATAATACAAAAACCTTATTAAAATCACATCTCCAAAATAATATTTTGTGTGTAATGGGGCATCAGTTTACAAAAATACTGTTAGAATACCAAGAAAATGTGTCTACCAAGGTTTTAAGAAGCGTTACTGTTATTTCAAACACTGATAACATATCTTAGTGGATGATAACGTCAACAAATAATGTATGAAAACATACAGGCTCAGTCTCCTGATTCTCATTCCTCAGATTCAGTTTTGCTGATTTCAGCATCCATTTTCATTTATGATGTCTCACTAGAACCTTTATTTGGAACAAACATTGCCTCTCCATATGCCTCACACAGAGTTCTCTGGGGTACAGTAATGTTTCAAGGGTTTTTATCTGCAAGAAAACATCTGCTTTATCACCACTATTTGTTCCCTCCTCTATCCCCATATGAAGTGATTTAGTGGTCCAGGCATTGAACCAGGGAGTCTGTAGGCTATAGGCCAGTGGACCAGTGTATAGAAACTTAACAGTGGGTTGCATGAAATCCACCAGAAGTCTGGACCAGCAAAAATGCATTGTTTGCTGTTATAGGGAAATAAGCACTCACAGAGAAAACAAAACAAAACCAAACACCAGCGCAGTAAAGTCATAACAAAACTGTGAGCTGGTGTGGTGGTTTTCCCCTGGCTGGATGCCAGGCGCCTACCATAGCTGCTCTGTCACTGCCCTCTTGTCATGGTTTAAGCCCAACCACGCAGCTCACTCTCTCAGTCCTCCCCCCTTCCTCCCCCTGCTCCCGGAGGGATGGAGAGGAGAACTGAAAGAATGTAACTCCCACGGGCTGAGATAAGAACAGTCCAGTAACTAAGGTATAACACAAACCACTACTGCTACCACCTATAATAATAATGATAAGGGAAATAACAAGGGAAGAGAATATAACCGCTCACCACCCACCGACTGATACCCAGCTGGACCCAAGCAGTGATCAAGCCCTTCCAGGTAATTGCCCCCAGTTCTACATCCAGAGCATGATGTGCTGTGGTATGGAATACCCCCTTGGCTACTTTGGGTCAGGTGTCCTGTCTCTGCTTCCTCCCAGCTTCCCCTCCTCCCTGGCAGAGCATGAGGCTCAGAAAGTCCTTGGTCAGACCAAACATTACTAAGCAGCAACTAAAAACATCAGTGTTATCAGCGCTGTTCCCAGGCCGAAAGTCAAAACCACAGCACTGTACCAGCTACTAAGAAGGAGAAAAATGACTGCTGCTGCTGAACCCAGGACACCTCTTTTGCTGGACAGGGAGAGAAGATATTGCAAAAAGCTCCTGGGTTGAGATAAGGACAGGGAAAGATTGCTCACCAATTACTGTCATGAGCAAAACAGGCTTGACCTGAGAGAGTTAGTTTGTAACCAGTCAAATCACAATAAGATAATGAGAAATAAAACCAAATCTCAAAAATACCCTCTTCACACCTTCCCAGGCTCAACTTCACTCCTGATTTTCTATATGTCCTCCCCCACAACAGTGCAGGGGAACGGGGAATAAGGGTTATGTCAGTTCATCACACGTTGTCTCTGCCTCTCCTTCCTCCTCAGAGGAGGACTCTTCACACTCTTCCCCTGCTTCAGCGTGGGGTCCCTCCCACAGGAGACCGTCCTCCATGGGCTTCTCCAATGTGAGTCCTTCCCACAGGCTGCAGCTGTTTATGAACGGGTCCAGCATGCATCCCTTCCATGGTGTGCATTTTTCCGGAACAGACTGCTCCAGCATGCGTCCCCTGCAGGTCACAGCTCCTATCAGCAAACCCGCTGCAGTGTGGGCTCCTCTCTCTAGTCACAGGTCCTACCAAGAGCCTGCTTCAGCGCAGGCTTCACACTGGGTCACAGCCTCCTTTGAGCATCCCCCTGCTCAGCGTGGAGGCTGCAGGTGGACATCTGCTCTCCATGGACCTCCATGGGCTGCAGGGGCACAGGCTGCCTCACCATGGGCTGCACCACAGACTGCAGGGGAACCTCTGCTCCGGCACTTGGAGCACCTCCTGCCCCTCCTTCTGCGCTGACCTGGGTGTCTGCAGGGCTGTTTCACATACACTCACTCCTCTCTGTCAGCAATTGGTTTTGCACAGTTTTTTTCTCAGCCTTCTTAACCAGAGGTGCTGCCATTGTTGCTGATTGGCTCAGCCTTGGTCAGCAGCAGGTCCCTCTTGCAGTCAGTCATCACTGGCTCTATTGGACACAGGGGAAGCTTCTGACATTTTACAGAAGACACCTATGTAGCCCTCGGCTACCAAAGCTTTGCCATGCAAACCCCAGAGTAGGAAAAACTTTATACCTCAACCCACTTTATTACTGAGAAGTCTACAGCATAGCCTTGCTTTGGCTCTTGCCCTGCCGAGTGCTTATCTCAATTACATTAATTTTAATGAGAAATCTTTCTCTATTTCAGCAGACACTGAGTATTAGTGGCTTCTGTCCAAAATTTCTTTTCTAGCTCACATTGGCCAGTGTGTGCTGGTTGCCTGTGTATAAACCGTACATCAGATTGCCTTTGACTGATGGCAGAAATTAACAGTGGGAGAGAATTATGTTTTGGGTTTTTTTTTCAAATTGTCACTGCCATTTCCTTAATAATTGCCTTTTTTTGAAATAAAATAAAAAAATTGTCTCAGATTTTTTGTTTGTTTTTTTTTTTTTAATGCTCTAGACTGAGTTAGCAATTCTGTCTCTGAAAGACAACCTTTTTGAAACCTAACCTAGGATGCTTAAAGGTAAGTTTTTGGTAACACCCACCATCTAATAAAAGCGTAAAGCTGGTACATAGGTCCAGTCCCTTCCTGATGACTCACCATAGTCAGATTCTGCAATTCTTCCAAAATTTAGTTTCTAGCCTTTCCATACTTAGTTATTACAGGGCTTTAAAAGTACATACTTCAAAGAAGCAAGTTTATGCAAATCCCAGGGAGTTTATCCTCTAAATTTGGCTGAAATCTAAAGGATTTGAATTGTTATCACATCTGTTTCTCATGGCAGTCTGTGACTACTGTGAAGATCAGTCTGTAAGCTTGTCCTCTTAATTTATTCTTGAATCCATTCTATAAGGATGCCAGTCTAATTTAATATGGCTTATTTTTTTCCAAGGTCTTTTAGTTTGATACTTTTCTGCTTCATCTAACCAGAATGCTTCATTCCATCAAAATTAAAATCAAGATATTTCATTTGCATGGTCCAAAACAAAGGTTAATTGACCAATATAAAAATGTTTCATTTTTACTGTGGAGATGAATGTACTTCATGAGCAAGTTGATGTTAACTTCAGCATCATTTTCAGATATTCTGCTAAAATTAAAAAAATTATAGTACAGTAAGCAAGGAAGAACAAAACACAGTGTATTGGAACACATCCATTGAGCTCCATCCACTGACCTGTCAGTTTTAAAGAACACAAATGAGCTGTCTTCCTTATTAATCATATATTAAACTTTGCATGATTCCTTCAAATGTTTATGACTAAGTCAAATATTTTTCAATGGTAGTCTTTTGCCTTTGGTTTTCATGAAAATATTCTCCATTACTAAAGTTTGTTTAGTTTTTCACTCAGATTGGAAAGTGCCCTGAACATCCTGGCCTGAGACAGATAGTGAAACTCATCTTCCTGCCCCATTTTTTTCCCCACAAGAAAAGAAGCATGCTCTTTGATTTGTATGCGGCGCTTGATGCTTTGCTGAATTTCTCTTCTGGCTCTGCTCAGACACATGCATTCCAGATGGTCCTTAAAAAAACAAGCTTGTGAGTGTTATGTACACTCTTGCTAGCATATAGCAGATCACATTATGCAGTGGCATTTAGAAAGAAACTGAGGCAAAGAGCCTATTTTAATTTCCAGCTTTGGTCAAGTGTATCTATCAGGCATCACAACCATGATTTTCAAGTGCAGAACAACTTAGTTCCTATATAAATAACTTTTGCTTAGGAGGAAGGACAACATGTAATTCTTTTTGAATAACTGAAGTAACCATTCCCTGATAAACATTTTCCCTTGAAATTTGAGAGCCAGATGCTCTCTTAAGTTGGGCACACACATCTTCCTTCCAGTTTAGGCTATTTTGCCTAATCACTTCAAAGTACTAGCAACATATTTGCCAGATAAATTGCTTTTTTGAGCCAAGAAAGAAGAAATTCAGGACAGTCACAGTCCGGCTTCTGTAATGTGAAGCAGAATAAAAAATGCCGTCACTTTTTATTAGAACCTGTGTTCTCTGAAAACTTGAGAATTTCAAGGCAGATAATCCAAAGTTTCTCCAGTATGTTGGACCTTCTCTGAGGAGAAATTTCAGGCCCTGTTTACAGCAAGTCAGCTCTGCCGCAGCTATATAGAAGAGCAGAAGGTGCTAGAAACGGACCTCCTGCAAGTGCACGT